AATATCTTAACAGACTTTATTGGTCTTAGCAGAGTAATATTGGCGTACACACCAAAGTCCAGGTAAGTCAAATTATCATCTGGAACATTTTCTGGGCTGACTCCAAGTCAGATATCACACTTAAATGTACTCTTCTGGTTTGGACCAGATTTTTAATGAAGTAACAAGTTATATAAGCCTTGAAAATGTTCAAAAACTGAACTAAATATGAAGCTATAACAATAGAGAAAAACTACTGAATGTACACACAAAATAACAATGGTGCAGATATCACACTTAGTGGAATGTATTACAGAAGTGTTAGAGGACCATGTTGCCCCCCGCATCAGGCCCCTTAACAGCCCAGCAAAGGGGGCACATGGCCACAGGACTTAACAGTCTTGTCACTATGCAACTAAATTACACCAGAAATATCTTCTTGGAACATAAAAAACTAATATGCAAGTGCATACAAAGGGAGATTGGTTAGTCTGTCATAACCCTTTCAATCATATTTATAGTATGATCTATACAAAAGTCAAGTTGCCAAGTCCTGAGGCCAGCACCTATGTCCTACCAGGACCCACTGTGGGGTCCACTGCACAAGTTCCCACTGTGGTGGACTGATCTACCACCACACCACCACCACCGCCACACTGCCAGCCAACCAACTGCTCATGTACACACGGCTGCTAATGTCCTATTCTATATGCTCTACTATGTCAAAGTTTAACTTAAAACTAAAAATATTAACACTACATGAATGCTCACCTTTCATGAGCAAGAAGCAGGTCAAAGGTGGGAAAGTACCACCCAGCCATAACAAGGGCAGCCGTGTACACAACAGCTGCCTTACACCTTCACACCTACAAATATACTGTATCCCACTCACGCTCTCCTTCAGACACACACAGAAGTATACACACAATCACACATTAATGCATCCACAGATTCACGCATATATGTATACACACACATACATATGCAGGGACATATCATGGATAGATCTTAGAGGATGAAACAACTATGGTTGATTGTGAGCAAGACTCTTAATATGAACTTATGAATCTAGTTAATAAAATTATATTAAAATCCATTATACAACAGTAATGTTCTTCCCAGCAAAAAACACTGAAAAAGCTGGGAGAAGAACATTTTCTTGCTCCAACCAGCACAGTTGAGTTTCTGTCTAACACCTATCTAAGAGACACTTAAAAAAACTAAGGCTCATCCACCCTGCAGCAGAACACTCCCAGCAGCCACACAGTGTTGGCCAGCAGTGTTTGAGTTGCTGGCAACAACAGGTGCAGCACACCAGAGTAACAGCAGATTGCACACACAGAATGCTGCTGCACCACACACACACATAATAAAATCACAATGTTGATGGGAAAGGTCAAAATGTAGTGAGCATTAAGGCATTTGTTTACACAAATCCTAAAATACTTTGTTAGGAGTTGTGTTGATTTCCTAAATGGTCACTTCTTACACCTGCCATGACTCCCATTACACTGATATCTTTGCCTCTCCTACCAATATATACAGGTGTGTGTTACGCAGCACGGGTATTGAGTATTACATAGTGGGGAACATCTGGGGAGGAGGGTACAAGGGATGAAAGAGGGAAGGATTCACATGAGGGCCCCGCTTCATTGCTCCAATGCTAGCAGCACCTGTGTCCCCTGGGAAGGCCTGTTCAAAGCTCCGCTTCTGCGTTCCAGGCAGCCTCGCTCCTGCCATAGCTGCTGCAGCAGCTGCTGCATAAGGCATTGGGAGGAGAGGTGGTCCCACTGGGGGTTTCTGAATACCCTGTGCACCTTGAGCATCTCTAGCCTGAGATGATGACACTGGCACCAATGTTACTTGTGGATGAAGCCCACTTGCTAGGGATGTCCGAGCATTGGAAAGCAGAAACACTGGATTACTGCCTGTACTTATCTGTGATGTAACTGGCATGTGTCCATACTGTCCTATGAGAGGAGGATGGATTCCTGACTCAGCTGGCTTTAAGGGAGGGGGCATGAGGGTAGGGGGAGCTTGAGAAGAATGAGGTAACTCAAGAGGATTTTGTGGAACCAAAGAAGGCCTTGGAGGAGGGGGACCCATAGGTGGAGGAAGGAGAAGGGGAGCATCAGCCTGTTTAATAGGGCTTGGAGGGATACCAGAAAGCACAGGGCCATGAGCTGGAGGATGAAGGGGATGATGAGCTGCACCAAGGAAGTGGGGCCCCTGGGGGCGAGGTGTACCAGGAGGGGGAACACTAAGTGGGTGAGGAAGACTCCCAGGCAGGGCTGCGGTGTCCCACACCAACATACCCGGGGACATGACGGGCCTTTGAGTTGGCAGGCCACCAGTCAGCACCATGTTCATGTCTTCCCCTGAACACTGAAAGACTTCTATGTAACGCTGCTTCTTCCCGAACACCATATAGCGATGATGCCTCTGCTGGGAGGCGAGGAATGCAGAGTGTTCGCTGTCCATTTGGATGAAAGCTTCTCCACTTGGCTGGCCCTGTAAAATGATGAATGTTAGAAAAGCAAGAAACAAAAGAAAAATAACAATTAAAAACTGATAATTACACCATAATCTATAGATAAAAAAGATGCTAAATGAAACATCAAAATACAATCAATTTCATGAACATACTAGAAACACACAACAAAAGATTCTAACATGGGAACTTACATGTGCATTATAAACCATATGAACACCCTGGTAAACAATGCTTTTTGCATGTTCACCTAGGAACTCAAGGATATGTTCAACTTGGGCTTCGAATGGCAGTCCTCGAAGACGGATGCAGTCCTTGCGGGTACCTGAGGTGATGATCTGTTGTGGGAGCAGTGGCACCTGGGGCAGCTGTGCAATCAGTGGTTGCTGCTGTTCATATGTACGAGGGTCCATGGAACGATTTAATACCTGTGAAAGAAACTAATGATCATCACCTATAAAGAAATGGAGTTGTTATAGCAGGATCCTGCTATAACTGTCTGGACAAATGTTTAAAGAAAAACCCTGTACCGTAACCAATTGTAAAAAATTAAGAATCAAGGGAATATACTGATCTAGCACAATAGGTCTTGGAAAAAAAAAGAAGAAGAAGAAAAAAAAGGGGATGGGCTGTCACATGCATTGGAAAACAAAACATAATTGATAATATAATAATTTACCCAATAATAATGAGTTCCTTGCCGGTTATGAACAATCTTGTATTTACTAAGAGGGGCACGGGAAGTAAACGAATGGCAGAGAGAGTGAGATCTTAAGGAAGGTGACAACAGGGAATAACCCTGAGATGAAGGAATACGACTAGGTTTCATGATTTCCATTATGAAGCTAACGACACAACTAAAATTAAATTACATGGCAGCCAATGTAGCTATGGGTGAATATTTACAATAGCTCCTTTACAAGAACTTGAGGAAACATTCAGCTAATTCAACAGACATGTAGGAACAAATATTCTTCAAAGAAGGTATGTTGTGGTTCAGAGAAAGGGCCAATTTATGACAAAATTACCATTAGCGGCTAATTAACTTTCTAACTATTCTACTACATTTAATTTTGTTGTGGGTAAAACTTAGCAAAAGTAATAAAAATATTAACAGTAATAATAACAGTAATAATAATAATAATAATAATAATAATAATAATAGCAATACTACTACTACTACTAATAATAATGATAATAATAATAATAATAATAATGAATAATATAATAATAATAATGATAATAAATGTTAATAATAATATTAATAATAATAATAATAATAATAATAATAATAATAATAATAATAATAATAATAATAATAACAATAATAATAATATAAAAAATAACAATTGATAAAAAAATTCCTGTAACCCTCTTTTACCACACAGGGAAATGTCCCGCAAATTTTATCAAATTTTCGCAGAGATATCAAGTGTTCACTACACTATATCTCGCCCATCTCAGGAACAAATTGAACACATCATTCCTGCACTTCACTCCACTAAACATGGTCCAAATTAAAAGTTGAACCACTATTCACTTTTTCTTCGAGAACCGTTAAAATTACGGAAAAGGAACTAACCGCCACATGTAATTTTTAAAAAATGAACAAAAATTACACTTCCCTTTGTTGGTACAAAACCTAGACAATCGTCAGAGAAAGGAGAAACCAAAATATACAAGGAGAGGGGAAAGAAAGCGAGATAAAGGAAACGAATACAAGAAAAACGCCGGGAAAAGGCAAGATGGTGATAGATCTTCAACCGTCACCCACACTAGCACGCTCCGGGACACTGATGTTGAGCTCTCACGGCACGGTACGTGTGCGTCTGTGTATGTATCCCTGTATGTGCGCGTGTGAGTAAGTCTGTGTGTAAGTATAATATTCCACCTCACCTCTACCCCCACCCACCTTCTCAACCCCATCCCCCGGTCAGTACCCCCGACATCATCTCCCCCCGCCCACTCCCTCCCCTTCGCCCGCCCATACCACCTCGGTGAATTGAAGTCTCGCTGATTCAAACACAAGCAAGATATCGCGCGTGGCTGGTACGAAGGGAAAAGGAGGACGAGGGAAATGACGGAGAGGGAGAGAAAAGAGGAGAAAGGGAGACAGAGATATACCTTGATTGAAAGTAAGCTCAGGTGTGTCTAAATGACTAAGAAAAAAAGTAAATAGTCAAGGGGAGAGAAAAAAAAAATGTAAGCACGGCTGCGTTACGTGCGTGTTAAAAAAAACACGAATCTTCATGAAGAAATCTATCAACTGAAAATGAAATGGAACCCGGGATGTAGAGTAGAAGCCATTACAAGAACGGCGACATGAAGGCTTGTTGTGCAAAATACCGCTGACGTCTGCTGCCTCTGCTTGTGCATACGAAAGGGGAGGGGGAAGGAGAGGAGGGAAAGGGGGCGGGAGAAAGGAGGGTGGGAAGAGCGAGGGAAAGAACGAGAACAGAGGGAAGAAGATTCCAGGAGCGCTTTTAAAGTATAAAGCAATATTTCGTATATGATAACTGCAGACGATTTT